TTATATAATACCTAGACGGCAAGACACAAAAATAGTTTAAAAATATTTATTTATTGAAATACATTAGTGGTTGGCTGATTTTAATTATACTCAAGATCTGAAAGTCCGATAGGAATAGTCAGGTACGTACCTCGCATGGCAAAATATTTTGTCATTCTGCCTTGTATTGCAGTCTAAATTGCACAAAATCAACTGTCACATGACTGTGGGGGATTTGCCCATTTGATAAAAAATTCTTCTTTTCTTTATCAATAAAATCTTAATGTTATTAATTGAATTTCTATAGTATGAAAATATTATCTAAAAAGTGTTAGCTATCCATAATCTTTAAAGTTTAAACGTACAATATTTAATGGAACCAAAAAATGAGAGTCATCAAGTCAGTCTTAGAATGTTAAATGTTTGGGAATGACAACTGGTGTAGGGCTAAGTGTATCAAGCGCTAAGAAAATGTATTTTGTTATTTTTAATATATATCATATTTACATTTTTAGAATCAATATTTTGTTTGGCTATGCAAATTACAAACTGTACGTGTCTGTATGTGTGGGAGTATATTACAGTGTACACCTTGTAACCGAGTGTACATTGCGAGAGAACGTACCAATGTATACAATAATATAAAGAAGCATTTGTTAGTAACATTCATTAAAGACAATATTTAAGCTATTCATGAATATATTTTATAATTATAACACGTTTACAAGGTAAAAATTTAGTAAGATGGCTTAATCTAATAACAAGCCGTTTGTTTAATACAAAAAATATATTTAATAACAAAATACGATATTTTAATTTTAAAGTGACTTCTGAGGAGAGCGTGGATTTCTATGCAAAAATATGTTTCTAATGGATGCATAACAACGAGAGAAAGATATGTCAACGATTCATAGTACACATAGAATCTGAATACAAAATTTTTGCACACAATATTTTGATATTAAGGGAATACATTCATAAAAAATCATATTTTTGCATATTTCACTATATGTACATATTTTAAACTATAGAATATAAACCTGATAATAAATAAACTACCTATCTATGATTTCTACTCTTGACCTGAATAATTGGTAATATTTTGTAACTATTGTGTTTTTATTCACAAAATTAATTTATTAAAATGCCGATCCTATGATCTAAAAAAAAATCAGTTTGATTTAACAGTGAATTGAACTTTTTAATACAGATGCAGTAGTTTTTAAGAGCGATGCAGTAGTTTGGTATATTGCCATCTTTGTAACGGATAAATTCTGTGAAATTTAAATTTCCAAATTTATTATTTATTAAATTTGTTTTACATATAAGTACATATTTCGATGTCAAAAAAAAAAAAATAATTGATAAAAATGCATATTTTTGCATATTTTACTAATTTTTTTAAATAATATTACAAGCATAATATATTCCAATTTTTAAGAGAAAATAAACATCATATTTTGGCCATTTTAAGAGAATGTAAATATTCGCTCTACTTATGAGTATTTAAAGTATTAATATTTCAAAATGATCATAATTCACTTAAAAATTCAAATATCGTAAAAAACCAATAAGATAACAAAGATAATGTTGTTACCTTTAAGTTTGAAAAAAACACTCTAATAAAAAAAAAAAAACAGCATACTATTGAAACCGTCGAACGAATATTTGCAATGTTGTACGTGGTTAAGACAGTGACGACATTTGTGGGAGTGATGTCCTCTTAATATCTTATATCTACCAACGGAAACGGACCCACTGCTGGTATGATAAATTCCAGTCCATTTAGAGCAGTGATTCTGCCTTTAGCAACAGTTTCCTATAGATAAAATGATCAGATGCAGATTCATGATATGATATTTTTTAGAATCAGTAAAAAGATAAGAGCAATTTCTTAATGATGTTGTCTGTATTAAATTATAAATAATAAAACAAACTTATGTGATGGATATAAATAAATTTTAAATAATAAACATACAAGTAATGAGTGACATTTTCAAAAACTATTTAGACATTTGATGTCTCCGTCTTACAAGTGCATAACATAGCAAACTGTAAACTCAGCAAAACACATGTAGCTCAGTTAGTTTAAAAACTATTGGTATTCACCTTTCATAAAATTTAAAAGAAGGATTATAATCTAGGCAATCCCATTGGCTTTTTATTATATTTTAATTTCAAAACGAGTTATGAGTGCTTTAAGATGTACAAACATTTCACAATTTTAAAATACCCTTCACTCGCTTTAAAATTTAAATATAATTAAAAGCCCATGGGATTACCTAATAATAATCTTACCTTAAAATTTTATAATAGGTCAATTCACTCTAATTTTTAAAAGAACCGAGCTTAATTTGTTCTGCTGAGCATACAATGTGCTATGTTACGCCCTTGTATGACGGAGACAATAAATGCCGGTTTAATGTCTTCCTAACATGGAATATTCATAATGTTTATAGACTAATTACCAAAAAGAGCTTTGATGGATAGCGCCATGATTAATGGGTAGCGTATGAAAATTATTCTTGTTCCTCAAAACCATAATACGTTAACTTAATGAAGATGTTATTACCAAACACTTTTTTCAATATCTTGTTAATGATTTTGAGAGAGTTTTATCTCCAAGCTGATTAAGTTCACTAACATGTAATATAAATATTATATAAAAATTAGATATGAAGACTTCACACTAAAATATTAAATATTTTAAATTTTAAATAATGTTTATGAAATGATCTGTCAGCTTTTATTTTATTTTATAGATCTAAAAGACCATGCATTATCATCATTCATTTACCAACTCGCAATAAAATAATCACCTTTAGTATAACAGTAGTCATGGTTTTTTGAGTAATTTCTTGGTGCGTTGACTTAGTTGACTGAATTCACATTTATATACCCCATGCAAGGTCATCACTGCTTTTCATTACTTATCATTACTGCTACTGAAAATAAATTGCATTATTGATCTAGATGCAAGTATGTTATAAAATAAATAATACATTATTAAAACAGATTAATACTTACATTTAATTTCAAATATTATTCCTAAAGTTTGTATTGTCAAATTATCCTTAAAACTTCAGTTTTAGAGGAACCTTCTCTAACATCTCCGACGCACTTAGGAGCCAAGACTCACAGTTTGAATACCTCTGCCATTTACAATTACTAGAGATACGTACATATACCTTAAAAATAAATCAAAGAAAAGTAAAATAAGATATTATTCAGAAACTTTCAAAAAAAATATTTTTATCTTTATCTTCTAAAAATTAATTTGATCGTTTGGTGGAAAACTATCATATTTGGTTTAAGACGACGCTACACTGCCATTTGTTCTCTTGGTCTTATAAGTGCACAACAAAGCAAATTTACACTCAGAAGAACAAGCTTAGCTCCGTTAGTTTAAAATCAGAGTGAATCAACCTATGATGAAATTTGATGGTAAGTACATTATCTGGGCTTGTATGTGGGTTTTTTTACAATAGTTCAATATTTTAGTAAGTTATGCGTTAATAATATAGCATTATAGCGTAAATAAAAAATGCTCATAATTCACTTAAAAACTGTATTATGGTAAAAAAAAACACACACACATACAAACACAGAAAATGTTCTTACCATCAAGTTTCATAACAGGTCAATTCACTCTGATTTTGAAACTAACTGAGTTAAACGTGATCTTCTGAGTGTAAATTTCCTATTATATGCAATAGTGAAACGGAGACAACAAATATCTGTGTAGCGTCTTCTTAATCATTATTACACTGTTACATATAAACATAATTATTGATGATGACTAGTTATTAATGAGGAATAAGCTTATAGACATGCTGGTACACATACAATTGTTGGCATATATGACACACACAGTGTTATGTTTGTTAGTGCCGGGAACGGTTTAAGAAAGACTGGTTGAGCGTCGCATATGTTCAGCTTAATGACAAAATAACGGTACTCTCTTCATACTTCCTTTCGCTATTTATCGTTTAACGCGCAATCATTCTATCTTAAACCGTGGATTCGGGGTACACGTTTAGCAGTTACAATACCTATGGATGACCATACAACAGTTCATAAGTCTTGTGTTTTACTATGGTCTATTCAGAATAAGAGCACACCATATTTACTGGTTTTGACCGTGGCACTCTGGTGTCGTTTTATTCTGAATGGAGTATATATTTAACATGCAACTAAGATTGTTGTAATTTATTGTAATTATAAAACATATCAACTGGAACTTATTATTTGATCTATCTCTCCTGATGCTCCTGTGTTACGCTTAAGCTATTATTCAAAGGGCACTAAAACCCTTACTTAATTATCTATATATAGATATGACGTTTTCAAAATTATTAAGACATTTGTTGTCTCCGTCTTACAAGTAGCAAATTGTATACTCAGCAGAACACGAGTAGCTTAGTTTGTTTAAAAATTATTGGAATTCACAAAGGTAGGGTTATTATCTAGGCAATCTCATTGGCTTTTTATTATATTTAAATTTTAAAGCGAGTTATAAGTGTTATAAGATGTACAAACATTTTACAATAATACAATAATACTCTTAACTTGCTTTAAAATTTAAATATAATTAAAAGATCATGGGATTTCCTAATAATAATCTTACCTTAAAATTTTATAATAGGTTTGAAATGATCAATTACAATAATAATAAAAAAAAAAAAACAATATATTGGTGTTAACTTCAAGTTTCTAGTTACAGCGGGGAATAATAAATTATAAACGAAAAATATGCCTGGGCCTTACCGAAAACCAATATTAATACATATTTTCAATCAAAATAAAAATGACAATAATGTGATAAATGCATCAGACGTAATTTAATAAATTAATACTACAAATCATTGACTAATACTCACATGTGAATGCATTAAGTGAGTATTCAATCTGAGCAACCACTTAGACACAAACAACAAACCAACAAAATGCACAATACTAATTTTCAACACTGACGTTTAGAACAACAAACACCCTAAAATGGGAAACGAAGACAGATTAATATGTATAATTGGCTGTTGCCTCGAACAATATTTACCAGTCAGCGTAAAAATTCACTAGAACATGAATTCAATTCGTACAGCACTAATACAAATACACATGCCACGTGGGTGTGCACCGTATGCTTCGACCGCAGCTGCAAAAAAACAGGAAAGAAAGTAATTAGTAATACAAAAAATCGGTTTTTGGGTTGGATCGGACTACGATACATCAAATACAAACGGCCGAAGGAAATCAGACGAATAACGGAAAAGCATTTAGAACCTCCTTCTACACACGAACGGTTAACAATACAGACATTTGATGACACCGAAAGTTTTACACTAACGTATACAGTATACGAACTTTTTTAAAGTAAAATACAATATTCTAAAAACACAAAAAACAATCAATTTTGCGACAATGCGACGATCACCGAACAATGTCTGTGAAGATAACAGCAAATACTACAGGATAATACAGGACACTGGCATATAAAAACTGGCGAATTATTTCTTATCATTGCCCCGCTAGATTGTTAAAGTAGTTGCCTATTTTACTCCTTGAAATGTTTATAAATACAAATTAATTTAGAACACCGATTTCATTTTATTGTTTATTTTCTAATGCCAATCAACGATTATAATTTTTAGTTAGAAATATTAAATTATTTATATTTTAGATTATATAGTATTTGCATATTTACACATACTTAAAATCTCCATAAGATCATAAATCCTATTGGGAAATACGATAAACAATGTTAAATGTAAGCTTTATAGTAGGTATTAATTAAATGTAATTCAAAACATATATTATACTTATATATTTTACTTTTTTCATAATAACTATACAACACAAATCAAAATATGAAATTATAACATAAGTGCTTAAAACTGATGGTGCTTAAAACTGATGGTGCTTAAAACTGATGGTGCTTAAAACTGAATATCTAATAATAATAATTTTTCAATTAAATAAACATTGTACTCAAACGTGAACTACTTTTTTGAACTTTTTATTTTTTGAACATTTATATTGGTTGAATGAATCATTGAATTTCTTCACATAGCAATTAATACTCACATTTAAAAATTTATCCAAAAATTTAGAATTGCAGTCTTCACATATACTTAGTGAGTACCTTTTACAAATATGGCTAGTAATAACTTTAAGATCCTTTTTTAAATTACATTTTTTTTTTAGAATAAGGTTTTCAATGTTTGCATGAAAAAGTGCAGAAAGATGTTTAGTAAATTCTAATGTTTTGGCAAGAGGATAAAGTAAACTGCAGCCATCATATTCCTTTATACCAATGTGTGTATTATCAAGATCAAATTTTTTATTAGTATCCTTAGTGGCCAGTTTTTCAATACATCGTATATAGTATTTGATGACAGCTATTGTACATTTACCACTTATCAATTTCGATAAGATAGTTAACCGCAATTATAACATATCGATGGTCAAAAGGCCAATTTATTGTCGTAACCCTCACTTTGGTCGAAAATGGGATTATCATGAAATATTAAATTTCATATAATTTTCTGGTGTTTAACCAATTGTCGTAACCCATCGTACTATTTAACTACTATAATTTAAATAATGTTCTATAATTGCCTATGCAAATCTTACAAGGGGTTTTAATAAAAATAATATGTTTTTCATTTATAATTCAACATTCAAGATGGATGGATGGATAAATAATAATTATAATAATTAAGTGAAATTGAAGAAATTTTATTTGATCTCTATTATAAATACAGTTAATTCCTTAGTTCTATCGAGAAAAAAATTTTTTTTATGATTTTTCCCATAATTAATGAATATAATTTTATAACATGCAAAAAAAAATGTCATGCAGTATTGTAGGATAATATACGACCAGAACAGACGATTGATATCTTAGACCAGTATTATAATAGTATAGATAAACATTACACAAGACAGATGTTGATGGAATTCCAAATTTTCTCCTGTGTCTTGCATGCTATTTAAATCATACTTTTTCACCATATTATATCATTAGGTATTTATTAAAATATATACGGGTTGGAATCTTTCTAATACAAAATAAAATGTTTATGATAAATATTGAGTGAATTATTCAATTTCTAACATTTAATATATATGATTATAATATGTATATTTTATATTTTATGTTTCATTTTATGATGCATTTAATGTAAAATGTTTTTTGGAAATTAAATATATTTTATTCAATGAATTGAGGGTAAAAATGAAATATTAATTAGGTAGGTACAAAAACTGAGCTAGTTTTAAACATGAAATATTTATTATTAATCCACTAACAATAATACAGTTTAATAACAATGAAATATTTTAGTTGCAAAGTAAAAATATAAAATACCTATGTTATCAATATTATATTAAATTTTCATTTTAAATATTTTAATTATTGTTGTCTGTCTCGTCACTCATCACTAATATCCATTACGTCGTCGTAGTTACTCGTATTGTGTTCTAAATTTTTAAGATTGAAAGTAATGTTGATTACCACAGGTCAATGGACAATGGTAATGCCATAACCCGTCTAAATTGAATGAAAGTCTGCAGGTTACCTACGACCAACTGTCAGGCTCATTAATTATGATTGTCTTTGTTTTGGTATTGTTGTCATCATCAAAGTATAGGACTTTGGATATTCTCGATCTCGAATTTATACACAAATAATAACCTACAAAGTAGATTTGTTGGTGACAGGGTGTATAAATAATATTAATTATTAATATGTTATGCTATCTCGGATACCTAATCACACACACCTAGTAATACCAAAGGTTAGGTGTGTGTGTGTGTGTGTGTGTGTGTGTGTGTGTGTGTGTGTGTGTTGTAGATATGGATAATTTAAGTAAAAAAAAAAAATATAGGTAAATTTACCAATAAAGTGGTAAAAACGGTAAAATAAAATCTCAGGGTACATAATAAAATTGCTTAGAGCCGTCTTTTTTATTAATTAATAGTTACAATAATTATTATTAATCATTACTTTTGTTGTATTGTTGACAAATTTAGTTCTTTCTAATAAAAACAATAAATAATTAAAAATGGATCTATAGTTCTATAGTATTTTAAATTTCCGTTAAACGATGTTGATGTCGAATGTAAAGCAGCACTGTTGGTTGCTAATGGTGTCCGTCAACACGAACTTGACTATGTGATAAGTTGTTTCATAGTATTCGGGTACGAATAAATTGAACAGCCAATACTGTTCAGTGTCCTTCTGCACGGGACAATTTGTATATAAGCATGCGTTCGTGTCAATGTTCAGAAACGGCCAGTCCACCAAAAAGGTTTCAGAGTATAGTTGTGTTTTTGGTGAGTACGCACCAAATTCTGAAATGAATTTATAATTATTATTCAAATGTAAAGAGCAGTTAAAAATCTTAATATTTCCAAATGTTTAATATACTATATAGCTCTGGTCTAGCTAGTAGCTGTCCCGCCCGACGTTGCCCGTGGGCCAAAGATTTTAATTGAAAAAAAATGTATACATTTTCACAAAATCGGTTGAGTAGTTTTTGAATTCAAATCAAAGTACCATTATTAACACATCAGTTATACACAGCGGTGGCATCATTGGAGCACACAGGGCCGTAGCCCCTCTCAAGCTTGTATTTCTAAAACCTTGTATATTGTTAGTTGTTACAAACAAAATTACAAAACTAAACATATTGTAATATCGAAATTTTTCTGAAAATTATGACTTGGTGCTCCCTCTTCCAACGATGTCTTTGGAGCCAACTCGTACTGTACTTATGTTAATTATGTTGTATTATTAAAAAAGGCCGTAGGTAAGTACCATCGACTTTGTATAAGTAGGTTCTGTGATTATATGTACCTAGATACCTATTATATTGTAAATTTGAATTAATTTGCGTAAACATTTTAATAACTGAGAAACTCTAACTCGAATTTTATTTTGAACTATGTATACTTTAACATTTTAAGAACAATTATTCACTGATAAATTTCATATAAAATAAAAATCCCATTATCTTAAGTCACTTAAAAATAATGAAGAATTGATTTTAATAAGCTCTACTTAATAGTAAATATAAGTTGGTACAATGAATATTAAATTTAATTGATTATCAGTCCAGACACACAATTGTCTACGATGTTTCATTTTTAAGTTAAAATCGTTTAAATTATTTGTGGTAAATAAATTATTGGTGCAGTATATTGTGAAAGGTTTTGTTAATGTTGGTATCGCATAGTGTGAGTGTGCTTGATTTTTCATAAATAAAAATACTAATTCTGGTCATCTCCCTGAGATTGGCGTGTTTTTAATTTCCCAGGTGTTGAAAAGCTAAGATCCGGCCCTGTATGCAACTATCCGAGTGTTCTAAGTAGGTAGCCTTACTACCTTCCTACCTTCCTACCTACCAACATAAAATCAAGCCGAATTTTTTATATTTCCTATTATTGTGTTATAGTACTATTTAAAGAATATAAATTATACGTACCAGGGTTATATATGAATGCGACCGTCGTGTTCGAGTTTCTTGACCATCCACATGCTTTGTTGTATAAAGCTTCGGGACATGGATCAATAAACATATCGTATATAAGACAATCAGAGTCTGAAAAAAAGAAAAAGGAAACAGTAAAACAGTAAGCAATATAAAAAAAAACGGAGTAAAATCTAATAATATAAAAAGATATAAGTTTATAAGTTATAACCAATTATGCAATACTCACCAGGGCACATGCGATAGTTTCTGACTCTTTCGGTGTTAACACTAGCCAGCATTAATGCTACTAAAATGAACTCTAGTACGGCCATTGCGTCACGGAATCAGTTAATAAAAACTGGCACGAGAAAACGTTGACGTTGTTTTGGTATACCTACAATTGATGATACTGCGACAAGGCGCTGCGAGGTTCTCGTTTATATATAAAGCGCACGATTTTTTTAATGTCAAAGTGGGGGTTCATCCAATCCATTTGAATGTATCTATGTGTATTCGCGATTGAAAGCGGAACAGGCGCTACCTTGTGGAAGTCATCAGAACTATTACAACGGGGAAGATGTGTATAGTACAGTACTGGTCTACAGTACCACACACGAAATACGAATTAATAAATAATTTATTGTAATTTATTGTAATATTATATGAATATTATATTATTAGTTGTATGATGTATGATCATAATTATCACCTTAATAGTAGTCAAAAAATACTAATTAATAATACCCATAAGGCTTGTTCTATTCCACAGTGTTAACCACAGTTCCACAGGTAGGAAATTAATACAATTAATTACATTTATTTTGTTGTAATTAAAAAAAAAAAAAAACACCAAAAACTGTATATACATAAAAATTTAACTGAATGTTTATATTTTCATTTTCTATACACTATATTTTTTTATTTTTAAAACTTTTTTATTAAGAGTTGTACAAAGGAAGTTAGCTACTCTAGTCACAATTAAATTATGGAGTACACAAATCGCCTGAGTTATTTTTGCAGTTTTTTCAGTTCTGTTTAGCATTTTATTTTCTAATACGTTAAACCTTTTTACCATAATTCCAAATGCACATGCGACTATTTTTCTCACACGGGATTGTCGATAGTTGTATATACCATAAACGTTTTTCGTTTGTTAAATTTCTACGAGGGAAATGTCTCATCAAAGTAGGTAAAAGTAGGTAAGCCTCATCGTCAACAAATACAAAAGGGAAATCTTCATTAATATTTTGATCAATTTTTTTGGGTGCTGGGCGCTGGCAAATCTAATTTATTTTGAATTAATTGTCTACCAAATAAGGATTCTTTGAAAATCTTATTATCACTAGACCGACCATAATCTCCAACTTCTATTACAATAAACTTAGCGTGAGCGTCAACTACTGCTTGCAGTAGAAACTAGAAAGTAGACAAAGTAAACTAAGTAGAAACTAGAAAGTAGTAAGTAGACTAACCACACGGGCCTCGCCACCGGGCGACCATGTTCCCCGTTAGCCTTATCTTTAGTATCGACTAGTGCGCTACCTATATTTCCTTTCAATCGCGAATAGAGCGCATGTATATTACACTGGTTAGATACCTATATCAAAATCAAACAATACGAAGCGTCAATAGCATGTTTATCGTTTATACTGTATTGTATATGCGTACATGGTTATATATTATTATGTTCATATATATAGTATACGCATTACGCTGTACACAAATTCAATATTTATTCAGTGTTTATTATCAATTAAGTCGTACCTTCGAACTTTTTCCCCGGTTCCTAGAATTTCTTATTTAAACATTGCAAAAAAATCTTGTTTAACTCGAATATTTTCGTGAATAAGTCGAAATTATGTTTTTTTATATTGAACCTAGTACCTACGTACATTTACTATCGGAAATAAGGACATTGGTTTTATCGTTACCGATAAGTGGTCCATCGAATAATCAAACAATATAAATAAATACCTACCCATGTTTAATATTTACACTATATTTAGTAATAATATGAAGTATAATATGTCGTATAACGTCGTAGGTAGGTATTCAATAACGCAAACGTGCTAATAATATAATATGTAAAATTCACCATTAATATTTATTAAATAGGTAGGTATAATCGAGTAACCATGATGCAGACGTGATACTTTAATATTGACTTATTTTACTGAGTGAACTTTGTATTTTTGTGTATCACAATGCGATAGTACATAAATTATAGTCATACACAATATTCTAAAAGATAATATTGCTTAGTGAAATACTTCATATACAATACCTTAACATTGATACATGAGTGTGTGTGTGTGTGTGTGTGTGTGTGTGTGTGTGTGTGTGTGTGTGCGTATAGTCCGAAATCCGAATGTACCTATGTATATAAATTATAAATGTAGGTACATACAATTCTATTTAAACGTAGGTAAATATAAAATATATTATAATAACAAATACACAGTATGTGATTTGTAAACCTTTTAATTAGCACAGTTGCTGCCGTACTGGAAGTAAGACTACCTACCTACGTTTGTTAGCCTAACCTAACCAACCATGGCTTATCGCTTATGTCGGCGACCGCTCGCACATTATATATTTTGACCTTTTTGTTCTACCTACGAGCTATTAAAACAAAAATTAATTATACTGATTTTAAGAAACTCTAGCTTATATCAGAATATTATTGAGCTTGACTTGAAATATTTTTATCGTTCCGTCTCCACATGATATTTACTATATTATGGTATACTGTACGAGTGATTTCGATATTTCTGTAGGGGGACACCTTAATAATATCGATATTTTTGTAGGTACTATTTGAACATGTATATAATTTATAGATAGAAGTCGATTTAACAATGCCCATAATTATCGATGTTCAAGAGAAAAGAATATTAAAACTATATTAATTGACTATAGGTGTGCAGTATGTGTGTGTGTGTGTGTGTGTGTGTGCGTATAGTCCGAATCCGAATGTATTTTTATGTTATATAAATTATAAACGTACATACAATTCTAATTAATCGTAGGTCAATATAAAATATATTATAATAACAAATACACAATATGTGATTTTTAAATACCTTTTAATTAGCACAGTTGCTGCTGTACTGGAGCTAATACTACGTTGTTAGCACGTACAGCCCCACCCATTCCTAATTTTCCAAACTTTTCCAATATTTAGCTCGTCATTTCCATGAATTTCTACATCAGTTTCTGAAATTTGTACTTCACCGGTTCACCCAGAAAAGTTAATTTTCTATGGGTGAGGAGGGGGAAACGTTTTTTCAGCTCCTCGTAAAATAATAATTACCCTATATTTTATGAATTTGACTGACTGTTACCAAATTTATAATAGCTAAATTGTTATTTTGAAAGAAAGAAACTTTTATTATTATTTTTACACTAAAATCTGTTTTCGAAAAAATCGATTTTGGTTTTTGGTGCAACTCTTAAAAAAATGACCGTATTTTCATGAAATTTTGATTGAATGTTTATATTAGCATTTTCTATACACCATAACATTTTCTAATTATTTTGACTTATTTTGAGCTGCTTACGGACAGCCATTTTCAGTTTCTATTTTTTTTAGTTTTTTTTTCTATAATTTATAAATATCGATAAAATGTTATTTGTTGGTTAAAAAAGCTTAACAATTCAATAGAAGGCTCCTAGTACATTTTTTCAAAGGCACATGAATAAAATTAAAAGTCCATAGCCACAATTTTTTTTGTAAGCATCTAAAGTTTAAATAGGACAAAATACTTAAAAAAGACGTAAATTTGCAAATTATTTTGAGTTAGAAATTCATAAAAAATTTTCTTTTGAAATCTAAGATTTGAAAATATATTACAAGATTACTCATAAGTTTGTCTACCTATTAATCCTTATTATGATATGACCGGCGACTGTTATAATATTAAGTTGTTTATTTTTATAACTCAAGCCATTAGGTACTTTCCCATAGTAAAATAAAATAAAAATATAACACCTATAAGTAGTGGTGGATCCAGGGGGGGGGGCAATTGGAGCAGCCCCCCAATCGTTGTAGTTCCCTTATGTGTTCCCTTGTGTTTGGTAAGTGAACTATTGTTCCAATATTGTATTTTTATTTAATGAATTCATACACAATTGATATATAATTCATAACAAGTAGATATTTAAGTTAATAAACTAAGCTAAAATTGTTTTATAGTAGGAAAAGGTATAAAAAATAAAGTTATAATTACAATACATTGATGGTTGATTACTTATATTTTATTATAATACAATTTATAATATTAGGTTTTAGGTTTATGAACTAAGCTTATTTTATAACTTTAAAATTTTATTACTATTGTTGTACTGCTGACAAATTTAGTTTTTCTAATAAAAACAATAAATTATTAAAAATGGATCTATAGTTCTGTATCAGTTATAAAATACACAAATTATTATGTTTTAAGTAATTTTACAATAAAAATTTAACTATGATGTACATTTTAACATTATGGTTTTTCCTATAATATTAAAGAGGCACAAAGGTGAGTTAAGTAACGTTAATAATGCTGTATTAAAATATTATAATATATTATGTTACAATAGGTGATAATAAATATATTTAGGTAGATAGTTGCGAGTATTTTCCATTTCTGTTAAACGATCTTGAGGGCGAAAAAAAAACAGCACGTTTGGTAGGAAACAGAATCCCAGAACTCGACCTTGACCGTGTAAAAAGTTTTACCATAGTTTTTGGGTACAAATAAATTGTAAAACCAATACTGTTCAGTATCCTTTTTAATGGGACAATGTGTGTATAAGCATGCGTTCATGTCAATGTCCAGAAACGGCAAGTCCATAAAAATGGTTACACTGGTTAATTGCGTTAATGGTATGTTGGCACCAAAATCTGAAATTAATTTTTAATTAATTTTCAAATGTAAAGAGCAGTTCAAAATCTCAATATTTCAAAATGTTTAATAATATACTTTATAGCTCTAATCTAGCTGTAACGCCCGAAGTTGACGGTGGGTCAAAGATTTGTATTTGAAAAAAAATGCATACATTTTAAATTTTCACGAAATCCTACTATATTTTAAATTTGAATTCATTTCCGTAAACATTTTAATAACTGAGAAAATCTCACTCAAATTTTTTTTTGAACTAGGTATACTAATTAGCTTACAATAAAAAGGTGGTTATTCATTTGAAAACAGAAGTTTGTATCTACATTTAAAATGTTTCATTTTTAAGTTAAAATCGTTTAAATTAACTGTGGTAAATAAATTATTGGTGCAGTATATTGTGAAAGGTTTTGTTAATGTTGGTAATCGAAATAATGTGTGAGTGTGCTTGATTTTTCATAAATAAAAATACTAATTCTGGTCATCTCCCTGAGATGGGCGTATTTTTTTAATTTCCCTGAGTGTTGAAAAGCTTAGATCCGGCCCCGTATGCAACTATCCGAGTGTTCTAAGTAGGTACCTACCTTCCTACCTACCAACATAATATCAAGAAAACATTTTTATATTTCCTATTATTGTGTTATAGTACTATTTAATGAATATTAATTATACATACCAGGATTATATTTGAATGCGATAGACGTATTCGAGTTTTCTTTCCATTCACATGGTTGGTTATGTAAAGCTTCAGGACATGGATGAACATACAGATCATATACAAGACAAGCAGTATCTAGAAAAAAGAATAGAAACAGTAAGGTAGTAAGTAATATAAAAAAAAACGGAGTAAAATCTAATGATATTAAAATGTAAAAGTTTAAAAGTTATAACCAATTATGCAATACTCACCAGGACACATGCGATAGTCAATGACTTCTTCCGAGTTCACTGCATTAGCAAGCATTAATAATACTACAATTAATCTTAATAATATGGCCATTGTGTCACGGAATCAGGTAATAAATACTGGCACGAGAAAACTTTGATGCCAATGCGTGTGGTTTGGTACCTACAATTTATGATACTGCGACAAGCCGAGGCGAGGTTCTCGTTTATATAGAGCACACAATTTTTTTTTTTTATACCAAAGTGGGAGTTCATGCATTCCATTTGAATGTATACGTCATGAGTGTATCTATGTGTATAGTGTATTGGTTGAATTGAATATAATTTAAATAGAGGTTTAATTTTTTTTTTTTAAGTAAATAATTATGTTATACCTACATTACCTACACTGATTAGATTTAGATAGTTTCATTTCATATCAGAATGAAACAGTACGAAGCGTCAATAGCGTGTTCATAGTTTATACTGTACTTATTGTCTATACTTACATAGTTATATTTTAATATGTTCACATAAGTAGTAAACGCATTACGCGGTACACAGGTTCAATATTTACTTTAATATGTATTCAGTATTTATTATCAATTAAGTCGTACCTTCGAACTCTTCCCCGGTCCCTAGAATTTCCTATTTAAACATTGCAAAAAAATCTTGTTTAACTCGAATATTTTCGTGAATAAGTCGAAATTATGTTTTTTTTTTTATTATACAATTATGATATTTCTCCTCATGTACCTAGGTACGTACATTTACTATCGGAAATAAGGTCATTGGTTTTATCGTTACCGATAACGATTCATTACAAATGCTGCCGATGCAATGCACAGCAAGACTCAAATAAAAATAAATAAATAAGTACTTTTTTAAATAATTTTCTGTTTCTAATTTTTGTTTATACATTTTTAAAATTATACATAGGTACATATTATATAAATAGTAAATACATGCTTTTTTTTAAAAAAAAGTCTAACCTAATTTTTAATTTTTGGGTTTTCGGTCTTTTTCAAGAATAAAATATAAATTGTTTTGTGAAATGGTAAAATTAAGTATACAATGTTAGGTGTGTGTGTGTGTGTGTGCGTATAGTCCGAAATCCGAATGTACCTATGTTATATAAATTATAAATGTACAATGTACATACAATTCTATTTAAACCTAGGTAAATATAAAATATATTATAGGAACAAATACACAGTAATACAGTATGTGATTTGTAAACCTTTTAATTAGCACAGTTGCTGCTAAGTAAGACTACCTACCTACGTTTGTTAGCCTAACCTAACCAATCATGGATTATGTCGGCGACCGCTAGCACATTATAAATTTTGACCTTTTCGTTCTACCTACGAGCGATTAAAACAAAAATTAAATAAACTGATTTTAAGAAACGTTAGCTTATATCAGAATATCATTGAGGTTGACTTGAAATATTTTTATCGTTCCGTCTCCACATGATATTTACTAAGTTAATAACTGGAGCATTTCGGTATAACCTTTTTTTTAGCTTCATACAAATTCCAATAATATCTAATAATAGTCGTATTGATCAATACACATACCTAGGTATCTCGGTTGGTTAGATGAAGTGATTATTAATTCATAAACGTAGGTAGGAGGTACCTACAATTCTTATATTAATTTTAATTAATTTTTTTTTTTTTAAACTTTATGGGCTAGCTGTATAACTTCAATGGGGTTAAATGAATAAATCTAAAATACAGCGCTATAAATGCGTATCTTGATTTTGTTTTGTATATCTTAGTTCAAAGGAAAATATACGTCGTTGTATGATTACTTTAAGAAGATAAGTCTTGGATTAGATTTACCACTTGGTTTAGTTTTTAAGGCGGTTGAAACTACTCTTTATACTTTTCTGATATACCTATCTAAGAATACAATCTCGGAGATGCTCGTCGAAATCGTTCCCATGGGACTCTCGAAAACCTGTATAGTAGATATATTATGTAAAAATAAAAATACACCTGCCTGAATTAACATAAAAATAATATAATACTCACCAGTACCCGCCTATACATATATATAGTAAGTGCATCGAAATTCCACCGAACAAAAATTCCACCAAAGACCCTTTTAAACATTAATTTTTCATTCCAACAGTAGGTAAATATGTTTTTACTGCCTAAAAAAATGTAAATTCGAACCGGTTTTTCATATCCGATATAAAACAAACATTATGTAGGTAATATATAGGTACACTTATTAGTTATTATGTAGGTAACGTTAGGTTAGGTTGTATACGTATTAAACTGATAATAGTCATATATATATTTTTTAAACATATTTAAAAAAATATATATATTATATAATTAAGGTAATACAAAATGTTCACTATATTATTATTGTTAGTTAAAATTAAATTAAAAATAAAATAGTATTTAACTTTCAATAATGATAACCAGTTACTTAAAATAAAAATTAAATAAATAAAAAACCACATTTTATTCGTAGCTATACTAAAAACAGTTGTGATCTTTGGACTTTACCACATTTGTAGTCAACGTTATTTTCATGTATAAAATAACGTACCGGTGGAGTCTTAATAGTCTTACACATATTTTAGATGTAAAAAAAAGTATCGGTGAAATGTACATATATATTGTTATAAATTTCACCCGTCGGAATTGACAGTCACCCACATCGTAGTAGGTACTTGTCAACTTAGTGTGGATGGTGTATATAGGTGCAGCGGAACAACAGCTAACGAGTAGTTTCGGATGACAAAAAAAACGTTATAGTCTACAATATAGTCAATATATATATTAAAGGACGGGATAAAAATATACAAAAAAAAATACTGAAAATGAGTATTCGAATATTATTTTCAAAAAGCATTTAAAATAGTATTCAAATAAAAATAAATAATTTGAATACTTTACTAGACTCCTTATAGAAGTCTCTTTGTCGATTAATAAACGACATTGCTATCGATAACTGTGTGATTAAACCATTAAATACATAGTAAAGTCTAAATTCTATTGAGTTTATTTTATGAATAATTAATAATCTGAAGTTATCTGTATAACCGGGACCTTTGATCCGGATGTAGTCGATATTTGTGTATCATGGCCATAGTGATTTCGTACCCAAGTTCAATGTGAGGCATTGTATACAAATAGCGAACAACATATTTTATCGAAATAATATTTGTTTAACGACTACGTTTTATTTAACTTAAAATATCAAATAATAGACGTATTAATCAATATTTATCTGAGTTAGGTCAATAGATTAAGAAATAGTATTTCTTGAATTATCAATTATTATAACTTAAGTTTTAAATTATTTTATATTTTTATGTATAATATATTTTAGCTGCATTTTTCAAGAATATTTTGGTAACATTAATTGAATACATATGTAAGGCTTCGAAACGTGTTTCATTGGTATTCAAATTGTACTCAAATGAAGGTCACAAGTATTTCTTAGGGGAGTATTAAAACGGAAAAAGGAAAAAACAATGAGCTATGGCGATTAATACATTATTATATTTTATTCTAAACGTAAAACATTTAAATTTAACTTCTGTTTTTTATGTAGGTATTACTTTATTAGTATAATTAAATGTGTATCCTCATTTGTTTTGATAATATAATTGATACATTTATAATAAATATTTTGTACAAAAAATTACACATAATTAAATAAAAAAACACACATTAGAATCTTTATGCGGATATTTAGAGTAATTTGAAATTATTTGTATAAAGTAAATAATAACGTTTTAATAACTGATATAATTGGTGTTTTATTGCTGGTAGTTAATTACAGTATTTTTTTTTATCTACACTGCTAGAAAAAGAATTAATATTGTAAAATCTGTATAATTTGGTAAAACATTTAATGTGCTTTTGTTATAATAATGATTTATAATGAATGATTAGCCATTTAATTTTGTACCTATATTTCATTGTTGAAAAAAAAATTGTTATTTATTTGTAATAATAATAGTTAAGTATCTAGCTCTAGTCAAATTTGCTGTAATATTCAAAAAAATATATACATTTTATTTTTAAAAAATATATACATTTTATTTGTGGCCTGCATCAACTGGTTGATAAAATGTTAGTAATAATAATATAAGACGTATTATACTTGTTGTACGAAACGGGATAAAAGGTGGTGCCTATAGTAATTTATTACCACAACCACCTGCTACACCCCTATCGACGCACACCACCGGTCGACACAAAAATGTTCAGAATGTATACTTCGGTCCATGTCTAACAAAGAAGAATATTCGGCGGGAAAAAAGACCCTCTCTGTAAAAGTGTCTTCGGAATGCATTATGATCAGAGGTCATGACCAGGGGTATTAAAACTGTGCGTCGTGGTCGTGGTTATACTGAAACGTGGCGCATGATATATAATCTATATAAAAGTGAAATAATATTATGATGTTTACGATTATGTCTATCGATGAATGATAATAAAATATTGACTATAATATTATAAATGTACTGCATAATAAAATACCTACTCAATAGACGCAATTAGGAGGGTTATGCTTGAGGGGGGGCTTTATATTTCGATAATAATAATTAATTGGCCCACGTACCTATTACAGTTACCGATGGTAAAATAGTTGAAGATAAATTTAAATATATCTTAGAAAAATTGAAGAATATAAAACTATTAAAGCTGAATCTGAGGTTATGGCAGGAAATCAAAATGTGACTTTAGAGATAAAATGTTTTAAATTACCTATTTTAAATATGCTCCGATAACAAGAAAATATGCTAAATGTACTTTTTCAACATATGAACATATTTCAAGAGTAATAGACGAATTACCTGACTTCCCGCCCTTTCCAAACAATATACTACGAAAGCAACTAAATCTGGTCGTAATATTTTAACATTACATATTATACGAAACAGAAAGATGGTAGTTGGCACCATGTAATTTATTACCCCCCACCCCCACCACCAATCGACCCACAAAACCGGTCCACACAAATAATATTATGTCTGGCGCTGTATTATAAAATAGTTGGCTTCTACTACCAGAAACGAATATTTTGAGGGAAAAAATAATGTCGAGGTTGTGCATTTGTGCGTGCGCATGCGAGTCTCCG